ACTCACCTCATCACCAGAGCTCCTTACACTCAGATTACAACTATGTAAAACATACATGCTGAGAACTCAGAAACCCAAGGAGGGGTCACAATGAGTCGGATCCAACGGGGCAGTGAGGTTTTTTTTTTTAACTGTCATTAGCATAACTTTATCATTCCAAACCACTCTCACCCAGGCAAATAACTTTATTCTTTTTCACAGGAACTTCTCAACAGACCTATCAACTCTTCAATGGATATCATCAATCAACAATTTGTGCTCTAAAACTCCTTGAGCCCCTCTACTCAAAATCCTTGTCTTGCTGTTCCCACCAACCCTAAACTCTTATCATGATCTTTACCAAATACAACCCTCCACAATGGAAAACTCACCTTAAACCAAACACCAAAAATATCAGTAAAACCCAATCTTGCCCTTCTCCCTCTACACATTATCGTAAACATCTGTTGAGGTAGAGCTCTCCCTAATGGCAATAAACTTGGCAATAAACCCTGTTTTACAAGAGATTATGTGGGTGATAGTTGAGAAACTAGCCCTTAATGCATAAAAACTCTGTAACACATACATGTAGAAAAAAACGAAAGGAATATACAATGTTAAGGGATTGATATTTCTGTCATTTATAAAAAATTTTTACGGTATTCATAGTGCCTAAGGCATTTGACTACTAACCAGAAGTCTGGCAATTCAAACCCACCAGCCACTCCTCAGAAGGGAAATTGAGCAATCTACTTCCATAGTCATATCATCTCAGAAACCCAAGGAGGGGTTGCTATGAGTCGGATCCGACTTCATGGCAGTGAGTTTGGTTTGGTTGGTATGTAATAAAGGGAAGGCTTATTTCAATCAATAGTTAAGAATGCACACGCCACTTTTCATGTCTGAAGATCAAATAAAGACAAAGCTGTGCAACTTGTTATTCTCTGTTGTGTTTTGTAGATCAATCAATAACAATCCAAAGAGGAGACTACTTAGGTAGGAAAGTGAGCTATTCATACTATAATTATTCTTGTACAATTGAAATACTTAAGGGTTCATTTGTAATTAAAATCATCCAAAAATGCTCTAAATTCACTTAGTTAATGCTGAGAAACAATCAGGAGGACACTGACAAGGGCCTTTAAATGGGTTTTGGTATTTGATGGGACAGAGAGCTCTAGAAAATGGCTTGCTTAACACCTAGTTACATAAATGTCATAAACCTAAACAGCACCTCACATAATTAAAAGCCAGGTTTATCAAGAGACATCTTGTAGTTACTGGGTTTTACAGTGTTTGTCAAAAGCCTTCCCTGTTGTTTCATGAAAATCAGGGAGAAAAGGTGACGTGAAGAGAGTTTGTTGCAGCTGGTAAAGGCAGTTTTCAATAATTCCTTTATGCATCTGGCATAGTTATGTTTTTTGTCAAGCTTTCTAATGCAAACCAACTTTGATGCTTTGTTAAATTGGCTCTGGTTCAAGCCAATTAATGGCTAGTTACTGAGGTAAAGGTAACCTCTACTGGTTATTAACTCATACTGTTACCTATTCAATCTTTGTTCTCTATGGCATAAATGAACTTTGTACTGAGGGTGAAGTGTGTCACCTGTGGCAACAACACAAAGAGGAGCTATCAACAAAGTCTGAAAATGTTAGTGCTAGCATACAGTACTGCATTGTCAGTGATGGAAAACATTGATGTACACGTGGATAGATGGTGGAGAGGCTGAACGATCAGGTATGTCTAGGTAGGCAGGGGTGTGTGTGCCCATGACCATGGATACCATTGGCAAGGTTTCTACAAGTGTATATGTATGTTCTGTAAGAATGTCCAAGTATATAGTAGAGTGACAAGGAACATGGTTGTGGTGACTTCTTGGCCACAGCCAGCTACCTGGAGGGAGTGAGTAGTTGGACCGATGGGGTTGGAAGGATGGTCCCAGGGGACATCAAGCTCAATTGGCATAACATAGTACACAAAAACATTGTTCCACATCCTAGTTTGGTGAGTAGTGACTGGGATCTTAAAAGCTTGCAAGTGGCCACCTAGATGCAACGATGGGTCTCTCTTTGTCCAGAGCAAAGAAGAATGAAGAAAACCAAAGATGCGTGGAAACAATTAGTCCACAGGACTTTTAGACCATGAGATCCTCAGCCTTTATGACCATGAGGCCAGAAGAACTGGATGGTGCCCAGCTACAACTATCAACCACTCACAGGGGGATTTGTGTAGGAGATCCTGGATAGAGTGGGAGAACAATGTGGAACAAAACTAAAATCATAAAATAAAATAAAAGACCAGGTTTGCTGGTCTGATAGAGCCTGGTGAAACCCCAGAGACTATGGCCCCTAGCTGCCCTTCAGGTCTGGAATTGAACTCACTCCTGTGAATTCCAGCCAAATAAAAGACTGGCATATGGGCTGAATATTTACATCAGGTAGATACACTCCTTGGAGAGATCAATCATGGGAGAACAGAAGGATAGTATATGCACAGGTAGACTGCTGGGGGAACAGGAATGCATGGGAGGGAAGAGACAGGAAAGAGGTAACTATGGGGAGGAAGTGGGAAGAGAACTGTTACATTGTGGGAAATTGTAGTCAATGTCATGAGACAAAATGAGTATGAACTGCTGTATGGAAAATGAAATTGCTCTGTAAACTTTCACCCAAATCACAATAAAAATTTAAAAAATTAAAAAAAGTTAGTGCTAGGACCAAAAGATTTACATAGCATCAGGTAAAGACACACCAATGATAGCAATAAAGACAAATATTAAGATTAATCAGATATTTTTATTTAATATTTACCATTCAGCAGCAACCAACACAAACATGTGAGCAAACAGAATCTCCTGAAACATTCTGCCTTATTGCTGCTTCAGAAATACACGCACAGGATAAATTTGACTGTTCATTGCCAGAAATTAACAAAACAAAACAAAATGGCTTCAAGAGCAAATAACACTGATTCATACTGTGCCCAAGCACTAGTCAACAAATTATTAAATTATATAGGAAAAGGAAATCAAAGAAGCTCTGTTATCTTATGCATGTCACCTTATTCAAATGGAAGGTTTTAACTTCTTTAAAGCAACAGAAATATGGAGCTTTCTATATATATATATATGTACATATATATACACATATACACATACATTTTAGGGATGTGATTACAAACACAAAATGTTATCATCAAAAGCTATTTCAAGAAATTTCCAACTGCAAAAAATTGCAAGATACAAAGCTAAAATTCATGTTCCTTTTCTCAATTATGAATACTTTCACTAAACATAAATATTTTAACATATATTAATATTTCTGACATTCAAAAATGTAAAGTCAATATGGCAGAATTGTTAAAAGCACATATGTACAAATAGTTTTTCTTCATACATAAAGTATTTGGCATAATTATAACAATCATACTGCATCCACAACTGTTTGCCTTTTACTTTTTTTTTTTTTTTTTACACATAATGGTATCTCTTATTAAAATTAACTAGTTATGTACAAAAATACTTGAACATTTATTATAGAAAACTTCTATAACCAGCCTCAACAGTGTGTACCTGCTGAATGGTTTCATTAAGAGAATATAAAAAAAGTGGTCACTGCCTTCCAGGTAAGCTATCAACAAAAACAAACACAGTTAAACTAAAATGAGCTTCCCAACAAAAGAGGGAAAATATTTAACAGTATGATTTAAAATACAGTTCATAGTTCATATATATATATATATATGTATCTATTGTCAAGTGAGTGTTATAAACAGTCAGTAAGAGAAAAAACAAGGATACAAAATACATTACTACACACAAGGTGCTTTGTTCACACTCCTACGACTGTGGCATTAGCACGGCTATCTAGATCTAAGATGCTACCACTGCAAAATTCAAGCTAGAGCAGTCAACAGCCATCCTCCTTCAATAAAAGGACAACAGGACCAGCTAAGAGAACAAGCTCCACTGGGAAAAAGGGAGAGTTGTGAGGAGATTTTTTTATTTTGTGCTGGATTGAAAGTGAATGCCCTTGTCTTTTGAAAGTCCTTTTGCCATTTAATCATGCTAATATATTTTCTCTAAGGTTTTTTTCTTCATTTAAGCTATTGATTTAATACTGTCCTATATTGATTCCTGCACTCTTGTTAATGGGACACATTAATTTGTGCCTACTTAATACTTGAACATCTGCTCTTCTTCAATGACAAATTTTCTGTAGGAAATTATCAAGTAAGGAGGCACAGAATTCAATTAAACATTTCTCTTGCAGTCCTTTGCTTCACCTACCTGACTGGAACTCTGAAAGTAAATTGCACCTTAAAAAAGAAATACAGTAGATACCATGGTGTCAGGGTACTAAAGGATTCACCAGCCAACTCACGAAGTAGAGTCTGAAAAATGTAGATAGCTGTCAAATGTCAAAAGCAACTGGAAAGAAGTACTTTGCTGTCAGAACAAAACAACTTCCAGTCCCAATCCTTGCAACCCCTTGAAGTACATTGTCTAACTAGCCTGCTTTAACCTTTAATTCCGATGAAGTACACTGATTCTTTTGCTCATGGAAAGAGCTAGAAACATCCCCTTATTTACAGAAGTCTTCAAAAGAAAGGACCACTGTGTTAGAATGTGTGTTGACTAAGCTTTCTCGAAGTATCAAGTATTCAATAAAAAGTATACAACGTTATCACACATCGTATTGTTTGACAATATTGTACTGGTTTTAAGATTATATTTTAAAAAAAAGTGAACATAAAAAGATACAAAATGAGTTTTTATCACTATTTACCACTTCCAAATGAGAAACGTTTTCATGAAATTCAGCCATACTTCATGGAACACGTGGCGGTTTTGATCAGTAACTTAATATTGTGCAACATTATTTTAATAAGCAAGTTTCCATTTCATTCATTCAAAGAAAAATCGGAGTAAGTTATTAAAGTGCCTACACTAAATGTCTTCTCATCATACTTGGTATTTTGTAAACGGCAAGGAATTCATTGTAGGGAAACAGGAAAGTGACTTATAACTGAGAGACTTTCCGGGGCAGGGGCCTTGGCCTTGGCCCAGGCTCAGTCCTGCGGGTCCCGTTCTCCAGGTGGTTGGATCGCGCTGCTAGGGGCTTGGGGGGCAAAGCGGGTGGCTCGGAAGTGACGGGAATGGACAGGCTGTGAGGTAGCGGGACCGGGCGCCGGAGAGTCCGCTCGTAGACGCTGTATGGCGGGGGCGTCTTGCTCTCCTTGCGCACCGGCTCCTCAGGCCCACTGTAGGGGGACACCGGCCCCGGGCCCGGCTGCTCGTTCACCTGATTTTCAAAGCCTGAGGTTTCGGACGTGCTACACCGGCTGAGAGAGGAAATCCCACTGCTGTAGCTTCCGGACAAGACTGGCGAGTTGGAGATCAGGCCTGAGGAGTGATAGTCCACTGGAGAGGGGGCGAAAGACTGCACAGAGCCCTGCTCCGATGTCACATGGAAAGGGGGGGAGACAAAAACAAGAGACAGAGCAGAGTCAGTGGGCACCCAGCCAAGTAGACTGTTGTCATTCACAGCACAGGAAACACACACAAGGTGCTTATCGGCCAAGCTCATCATTCCTTCACTCAGTTCACTCCACAGCCCCCTTGACTCCTCTCATCCTATCTCAGGAGAGGAAGAGGAGAAAATAAATCAGGAGAAGAGTTCAGAGGTACAGCATTATCTCTGCAGTTTGCAAGAGTGGGGACAGGGGTGCCATTTCTCCTTTCTGGTACAGCTAGGAATGAGCTCAGAACTACAAAGGCAGAGTTTTTTGAAGACACGAGCACAAGCCACTCTTCTCACCAGAGACACCAGGAGGACAGGGAGAGGCATCTTAAGTCCTGCACTTGATTCTATCTCCAAACTCCTGAGGTGAAACTGCAAACTCACAGCCCTCAGGCTCTACCCTGAAATGTGAACTATTTCACCTACATGGTGTTTTAACAAAACCTGAACTAGTTGCTAATATTTAAAATAGGAAGATTTCACATACAACTCCAGACTTCCGGCATTTCATAAAGAACTGGACGTTCTAGCAACAGTGGCTTAAATTTCTAGATGGAGATAATCTTTTCACAGCTGAGCCCAGGCTGTTCCCTTTACATGGGCGTGAACTTTTCACTTTACAACAGTCCCTACCACTCCACATGGTGTTCCGTCCTGCCTTCTCCACTCATTTATGTTAGTGGTCTGGCCCCATCTAGAATCTGAGTTTGTTACTTCCTCGACTGGTGTCCGAAGGAATGTAAGTCCTAAGGGATGCTCTGTGAAAACAGCGTTCCATGAAAAATACTGAGTATTATATACCCTTTATGTACCTTCAAAGCATATTAGTGTACCAGTGCCTTCACACCCAGACAATAAAAAAAATCCAGACAATTTTGTTTAGCCTACTGCTTTCTAAACTTATTTGATAATAGGGCCATTTTTGCACTTATCAGAAAATGTCCTATAAAACTAATGTTCTATGGAACATACTTTGAAAAATGCTGCCCAAGAAAAATTTTACCTTGGTATGTCTTTTTAAATGAAATAACATTGTGGACACAAATCCTTTCCTTTACAGGAAACTAACATTATGCATGCCCAACTATGAGATCCAAATTCACTGCTGTCTCTGTCAAAAACTGGACCCCTATGTTCCAAAGAAGACAGAGGGAAGCTCAGCCTTCTCTATAAGGTTTAGTCTGGCATTTAACCAGACTGGAAAAAAAACTAAACTCTTATCAGTTAAGGTAGCAAACTACATTCTAAGCATAGCAAAACTAATAGCTTGGTGGCAGTGTGCCCTCTAATGTAACACAGGAGTTACAACACAAATGCTCAATCTATGATCTTCAAACCCTATTCATTCAGACGTGGCCATAAGGGTTTGTATGGCCAGTCAAACTATATTCAAGTTTGCAGAGAGATAGTCTGGTAGAAGCTGCCCTACCAGACTACAGAGTAACACAATTGGGGTACACAAAAGGAAGGAACCTCTGAATCAGCCCTTGGACAGAGCTTTATTCCTCTTGATCAGGGATGAATTTTACTTTCTGGTCTCTACCAGTCATCATCTCTGTCCTTGATAAAAGAACCTGGGGTATTTTGGTAGCTACTTAAGTTTATTTTCAGGCCTTGGGTTACTTTTATTTTCAAGAATGAATCTCTAACACTTACTGTTTTATTACTACTCTACAAAATCAGATTGAAAACCACAGATGTGAATTCCATAGGATCATGTGGGAACTCTTTGCTTGTAATGGTCAACGGAAGGATGCCAAAAGGGCATGTTGCTTTCCCCCACATCATATCATGCAATCTATGGTTTCAGAGCAAATGTGCTCACATGCATGTCATGATTAACAACAGCTGCACTGCGGAATGCCAATAAAGCTAGCAAACAACTTGTATTCGCCAGCAAATTTCTACATAATAAATTTGGGGAATGCAAATGAAATCATCCTTCTTTGCAATATTTTTTCTCCACTTTGTTTTGTTTTCCACGTTCTCAATTTCTGCCATCATATTCTTGTTGCTGTGTGTGCTGTCAAGTTGGTTCCAACTTATATAGCGACCCTACAGGTAGAGGAAAACGGCCCCACAGGGTTTCCCAGGCTGCAGTCATGATGGAGGCAGATTGCTAGGTCTTTTCTCCCACAGAGTAGCTGGAAGGTTTGAATCACTGACCTTTCGGGTAGCAGCTGAGCATGCTTAACCACTGCTTCGCCAAGACTCCTCAGGTGCCCTTAGTGCCACAGATTCCCTGGATTACAACCAGCCCCTGGTGTGTTTTTAGAGGCTAATTTGTCTTTTTCTTTCACATTAGGTAGAAATATCTCAACAAAAAGGACATGGAGCCTTAAATCGCAAGTCACGCAGGTATACATTCTTTCAACACTCACTTCAACCTCATGTTTGCCTCTGTTGCTGCTGCTCTGAACACTAACCTCTCAACTGTACTGACAATCCTTGCAGCCAGTCCAATTCAATGTGGATGGAGACTAAATATTATTCTTCACCTTCATGAGGGATTTCGTATGTTTAGAGACATCAAACACTGTATATTTAGAGACATTAAACAGCCTATGTCTACATACCAATTCAGATATCTGACCTTTCAAAATTTTCTAGTTTGTTCCCAAGACATATTTTTTATTCATTTTACCTCCTTGCTTTTCATATATTTCCAACATAAATGAAATACTAAGTTTAAAATATTAAAAGAGAAATAAAGTTGGGTTTGGCTTTGTCAAAATGAGGATAATGATAAAGGCATGAAGTCACAGAGGAAAAGTAAGGAGATTTTGATTATTCATCTTTTTCAACCTAAGTGCCTTTTTTTCTTTTTGTAAATGTGTCATAAACCAAAAGATCAGGCTGCAAATGTCCCAGGAGGTCCACTGAGACCATCCTTCATTCCCAATTCAGTGTACATAGTGACTCTACGTTGTATGTTCTCAGCCCTGCCATTTGGGGAATGAAGTTAATATCTGAAACCAAAGGGCTACAGTCACCAAAGAAGCTCCCCAAGAGGAAAGCCCGTGCTTTCTTTCACATCTTCCTCTCTTCCTTCTTTATATGTTCTTTGCCTTATCTGCGAAAATGAAAATACCTCTTGAGTTTTTTTTTAAAAAAAGGAACCTGGGGCCAGTTTCTAGTCTCCACCTAACGAAGGGCCTGTACCTTCAATGGAGATCGTCCAGCAGGGGAGGGGGATACTGGCGTCGTGTGTCTTGCGGGTGAAGCTGTAAACAGAGAGACGTATCACTTTTATTAAGAAAAATCAGGTGGTTGACTATCTGCAAACCCAGAGAAATGGTCCAAGGCATAAGGACCTCCTGGCAAGAATGGGGAGAAGCTAAATGATGGCTATTCAAAACAGATTCTTTGAGAAGCATGGCATTACAAAGGCATGGGACAATTAATGAAGAGTCACCGTGTACATATGATGCTGTAACGAAGGTGATAGGGTCCCAAACAGGTCTAACATTTCCATATATTCCCCCAAAGTCCAGACATTTCTCTGTGTGATCTATTACAAGTTACAAGTGCTTTTATACATATGTTCAGGTGTAGAGGACAGGGAAATAGCTTTGCTTGAGAAACAGCTACTGACTGTGGCCTGAGCAGCAAAGGGAAGACTAGGGGTACCCAGGCATCTTGGAATAGGCCCACGGGACTATATATATATATATATATATCAGTTTTCCCTTTTATATCCCTAGTACTTATGAAACACAAAACCCTTGGCCATGTCCATAAAAGGGTGAGAAGTTGCCCATTTCTCTCCCAAAAACCTATGCTCAGACCCTCCCTTTATCTCTTGGGTGGTGGTACTTGATGGATTTCATCATCACACCCAAGAAGAGCTTTCTCTTTGTTTCTCCTGTAAGATTTTCAGGTCCTAAGCCTGGGAAACAGCATGTGTGATCACACTGCTCTCCCTGTGTCTGCCTGTGGATCCAATCCAGCTCTCTAGAGCAGAAACATACAGTAAAAGCCTGTGTGACACAGCCAAGAGGGTTACTGTGCACCATTTTTCTCAATTCCACCTAGAGAGGTTTCTGGGAGCTCAATGTATGCTGTTCTGTGATTAGCTGCCATTCGTCAAGCTGTCACAGGGTAGGTTTGTGACTCATAAGAAAACTACAGAAAGGCTGAAAGGAAGAAAGACAGACAGTTAGAGACCTCACCACAGTGACCACAGATGATGACATATGGACAGAGCATGAGAGCAATCAGTGCAGAAGGGACAGCAGCCCTGCCCAAAGTTAGCTTGGGAGATATAAGGTCACCTGTGTTCTCTGAGTCCCAGGGGACGCAGAAGAGTGGCCCGGGATCATAACGAGGGATGGTGTGCCTGCCATCTTGCATGCTGGGGCATGCTGTCAGTGCTTGTCAAGTTTTAAGATCAGTGTTAGTTCTTCTCTCCCATGTGTGTCTAGAGAAGCAGCTCCTGACTGGTAAGTGGATTTCTATCATCACTGTGGTGGAAGTCAAGGTGGTCTGTTCCAGGGACTGCCTCCTCTTGACTCAGGCAGTCACTGACATTACCACTACGGATACCACAGTGACCATGGCACCCACTGCAGGTTCAGAGAGAGATTTCCCTGGGAAGCTGTTGTCCCACAGAGACCTATAATTGTTCTATTAGTTCTATTCACTTTGAGCTAGCTTAGAAACCTAACTACAACTAAGGCTACCTTTGAGTTAATTAAGGAGCTCAATGGTTAAAGCATTGGGCTGCTAACCAAATGCTCAGCAGTTTGAACTCACCAGCTGCTCTGGGGAAGAAAGATGAGGCAGTCTGCTTCTGTAAAGATTTACATCCTTGAAAACCCTATGGGGCAGTTCTATTCTGTCCTACAGGGTTGCTGTGAGTTGGAATTGACTTGATAGCAGTGGGTTTTTGGTGGGTCAACTTGATTTTGACTCACGGGGTTACAGAGTAGAATTGCTCCATAAGTTTTTCTCGGCTGTAATCTTTATGAAAACAGATCACCAGGCCTTTCTTCTTCTGCAGTGCTGCTGGTTGTGTCAACTGCCAACCTATAAATTAGTAGTTGAGCACAAACCATTTGCACTACCCAGAGATCTTACCATTAATAATACTGCTCCTTAAAAAATGCTTTTCAAGTTCTCAATTTTAGATACACCATCAGGTTTAAATAGGAGACTGCCTGAATATGCATAAAAATGAATAAAATATGAATTACTAGGTTAATAAGTCTTAACCCTCCTTGGTTCACACAGCTAATGCAAATTACCAATCAGCCTGAAGGTATTTCTTCTTCTGATAAAATATTTCAAATCCTTTCAAACATTACTGGTGAATTTTAGCTTTGACAGGTATAGAACAGATTTGATAGCATATATAGTTTATTTTAAAAAGAGGGAGAGTCAGTTTTGTCTTCTTAATTAAAAATAAATAAATAAGAAGATACAATGCTCGAATTCAGCCAATGAAACACCAATCCAGAAAATCCATGAAGGAAATAGTGCTGTTCTTTCTCAAGCTTTTAGGCCAGTTCTATTTGTAAAGCTTCAAACCAACTCTGGACCTAAATAACTGCTAAAAAGGCTCTCCCCATCCCCAGAATAGGTAGAGTTAGGAGGGCTGGGCAGGCAGTTCTTAAAAACTATCCCACCAGTAGGTCGGTCCATCAGGCAAAGGAGGAAAAGAGTTATTGCTATGAACTCACAAAGGAATGTTTTCTTCCAGAACCATTTTCAGTGGTTCTCAAGATCTGGTGAGCAGAGGAATAACCTGAAAGGCTTAGTGAAATACAGATCTAGGGCCTGACAGAAGAAATGCTTAAAAAAATTCTCACTCAGGAAGTCTGAGGATAGGCCTAGAGGTTAGTTTCTGAAACTAGCACCTCAGGGGATGCTGGATCGAACCTTTGAGAAATACTGCCTTAGAAAACAGACCTTTCCAACCAATAGATAGGGGATTATTACTGTGAGAGCCAGGGAGTTGTTTTCCAGAAGCCTACCAAAGTTACCGGTAGTCAGTTCCTGTTTAGGGGCAACTTGAAACCTTGGCATCATTCCTGAACAAGATTGAAGCAAGTTGCTGAGTTAGCAGAAGCTGATAAGAAAGAGGCGACTAAAGCAAAGGATGAAGAAAATGTTAGTGGCGTTGTAAGGACAGGGCACTTTTCCCAGATCTGAGGAAGGTGCTGTGGAGGAATACAAAATCTGTCTGTGGGGTTTATCAAGAAAGGACCACTGCTTGACTCAGTAGTTGATTCCTTTCAAAATTAAGACAAGAATAGCAGTTTAGGAAGAGGAAGAACATCATCAACAAATTGTGCAGCTACTAAGTTATTTACCTCAGAAACCGAATGCCTACCTTTTTCTGGGGAATTCAGAACAAGCTGGAGTACTCAATAAAAATTATTTTACAGAAGTGATTGCTCGAATGCTTCAAATACCCACCAGTCAGTGTGGGTCTTGGAGGGACAGGGGGAGAGATAAGCTTCCCACTATCCGACATGGTCTTGGCTTCTTTCCCACTGTCCAGGCTCCAGCTGCTAGGGGTGGGGTTCACAGCTGGAAGGGAATAACACAGCTAAAAACACATGGTCCAGCTTTGCTCTTCCAATGTGTGAGATCTTATATTAGGAGAAAGTCAGAATTATCCAGAATGAAAAAAAAAAAAAAATCAACTGGATTAAAAAACTAGGAAACCTGAATACTAAACCTGTATTTACTTGGCTAGCTAACAGTTGGGAGCGCTGGTGGTGAAGTACCTAAGGCATTTGACTGCTAACCAGAAGGCTAGCAGTTCAAACCCAGTAGCCACTCCTCGGAAGGAAGGTCAGGCAATCTATTTCCGTAGTGATACTGCCTTGGAAACCCAAGGAGGGGTCACCATGAGTCAGATCTGACTTGATGGCAGTGAGTTTGGTTTTTTTTGAGCCAACAGTTACAGCTGACATTTAATTAGGTGATAGCATGTCTCTTTACTTTCCTCAAGCTTTCAAAAAGAACTACAAAAATTACAAATGCTTGTAGATGCTGGATAACAGCTGGAAGTCATAGTCACTAGACTATTTACAAATTTGTTTTTTAGTGGAAATTTCTGGACAAGTAGCACCCAAAAAGGGAGAAGGCAATGACGTGCTAATATCTGAACTCTTTGGCAGTACTGTGGGGAAAGACCCCCAATACCAGACCATACTGTTGGCCAAGCCTTTGAGGAAAGGACTCTTGTTTCAGAAGTCAATGAGTTATACTGAAGTATATACCAAAAATCAAAAATAATTTGGGATACTAAGGGTACCATTCCCATTTTTGTAATCTATCTGCTCCTTGCTTCAGTAAGATGAACAAACAGGAGCAATCCTGTTAAGAACAAGGGTAGGACGCACAAGGTTATAAATAGCCTCTCTGTAAGGTTTACAAAATCAAGTCTTAGAAAGATTTCCAGTGGCTTGCTCCCTGTACAAACACTGCCATCTGATGGACATGCCTGGGATTTCAAGATTTACCCCTTTAAATAACCACTTTCATTTAATGGGATGGAATTAATTAAATTTTTTTTTTCTCTCTTCCTTTACAATTTGCTTTGTTTTTAATAAGTAGAAAGGGGTGAGATGACCACTGCATTCCTAAATTCTACAGCCAAAGATCAATAGTTGACTTGTAACATTAAAACAATCTGCATTTTAAAATAATTCTGGCTAAGGTCACGCTGATTTTGATCTCCCAAGGAAAGTTTTAGCGTTAATGTATCACTGTATTCAAATGACAACACAGTGTAGTTCTTAATGTGGGTAATTAAAGTGCACTTTTCCAGGACATTTCATTAGTGACTTCTGATTCATTGGCCTCTCAGGTTCGTATGCTTGACCTGAGAGAAGTAAATGGGTGACTTGCTGCAGGCCAGCCACTCCCCTCCACCATCACCCCCTCCCTGTAACTGAGGAAGTCACATTTAATCTGTTCTCCATCCTCCGCCATCTTGCATACAGTGATGCTAATGGGCCATTTACTGCTATGAGTGGGTTTGGTTCTTTTTTTTTTTTGTGACCTTGAGGCAGGGCACACTCCATTATGCACTGGATTGCAATTCCTAAATAGTATTTAATTGTACAACAGCCATGTCTGAGTCAGGCAAACAACAGATGAGCTGGCAGAATGAGCTTTGTAGGGAGACAAAGGATGGGGCTATGGAATCAGTCCAGAAAGTGATTATTTTCATTATGTTGAACAAATAGCCTAACTGGCAACTTTCTTTCAGGAAAAGCAGGAATTGCCTTGGTGACAAACCACATCGCAACCAAAAGCCATTAAACAGGGGCACTCCTAACTTGCTCAGACTCTACTGCTAACTCCTACATAAAACAAAAAAGTTTTTGAAGAATGGATTCTGAAGAACTATCTTTCATTAATTCCCTAAAAAGCAAACTAGTCCTGGTCATTACAGATCTCCAGAGTATGCCTTCTGCACAGACACACAGAAGACTGGAGAAAAGGAGGACAAAATGAACCCTTCAGCAGTTCAGGATTGAGGAAGGGGCTGCCTTTATACCTACCTTTCTCAGGTGCAGAAAGATTAGGGTCACTGCGTGGCAAGGCACCGTCTCCAATGTGATTAAACAGCATTCTCTGAAAAGGTACAAGAGGCCGTTCGTGTGGTACCACGGCTGACACGGGAGACCTATGTCATCACTGGAATTGTTTGCTCAAAATAATTGTTATACAGGATGATGAACCTAAAGCAAAGCCTTTGGTTCTGAGAACAAGAACGTACCGTTTAAGAATTAGGTTTTAAATATAAATGGTAAATTAATTTTTGTGATAAAATATAGGGGAAAAAAAACAAATAGTAAATAATGGTTAACTTACAGAGCCCTTTGTAAATACAATGCTAGATTGGCAACATGAAATGCAAGTAAGAAATAAAGCAGAAATATTGCTCATAAATCCCTAGTGACTAGGCTGTAATCTCCTTTACATTTTAAGTTCTATATTAGGCTAAGACATATGAAACTGCTGATATTCTGTAATTTTTAATCTACAAAAATGCCAATTGTACATGGTTCTAGTTAACGTATTAAAAGAAAACATACCATGTCCTTCAATGTAGACATAATACAACAAAGCCTATTATCGAAATGTGGGCAACATACACACTGCCTCAAATTTTACCAAAAGCAGAAAACTCAAGGGATTAATCAGAAATGCTCCCAGAGTCCCTCATGTTGGCAACATGTTCTCCTAGAGCAGATGGAATAAACTGTGAAATCTCCTTGCAACATCAAGTGACAAAGGGAAATAAAAATAGGTAGCTGGTTCAGCCAAACGCATGCAGACAGAATTTCTGTGAGACATCAGTGCAGATGAGATGTCCTGGGACTTTTAGGAAGGTCATACAATCAGCAAAGATAAACCAATCAAGCCAAATCCACTCGCTCTCATCCATTTCGGTGGCAGTGATAGACTTCTACCAGGTTGGTGCAGAAAAACAGAGAAATTAGCTGGAGTCTATATTATTATTCTTCTCTGCTCCCAAATTCTTTCAAAATGATCTGAAAAACAGGGCTACACATGAACAGGCATCTTTGAAACCACTCGTCAAAGCGCTTGAAGTGTGCAGAGGTCTGTGCCGGTGGCCCTGCACTCACACAGACTAAGAAGGACCACTTCAAAACTAAGATGGGCGGAAACAGACAGCAACCGCTGCCCTTGCAATGCACTAAAGAATGTCAAAGGCAAAACAAAGATTGCCTCTGCACTCTTGAAGTTACCGATGCAGCACTCTCAGACAAGGTCTCGGGAGAAGAGAAAGTGCACAGAAATAGCGTGGTTCTCCTTCAGGGTCTTTTGCTAAAGTAAGATCTTTCCCAAGATTTCTGCTACATACACATACACACACATACACACACATACACACACATACAAGCATCAACTCATTCATCCAACTACCCCTTCTAATGTTTAGGTCCAGTTGCTGCCAAGATGATTCCGAGCCCATGTGTGGCAGAGAACTGTGCTCCATAAGGGTTTCCTGGCCCTTCTGAAGCACCTCTTGGTGGATTAGAACAACCAACCTTTCCGTTACTAGTTGAGTGCTTAACCATTTGTGCCACCCAGTGAATCCCAGTGTTGACATAGCAGCAATGAAACACAGGAGCCCTGGAGGCACAGTGGGAGCTCTGGTGGCATAGTGCCTTAGGCATGTGACTGCTAACCAGAAGGCTGGCGGTTCAAACCCACCAGCCACTCCTCGGAAGGAAGGTTGGGCAATCTACTTCTGTAGAGATACCACCTCAGAAACCCAAGGAGGGGTCGCTATGAGTCAGCTCTGACTCCATGGCAGTGGGTCTGTTTTTTTTTTTTTGCATTTGGTGGCACACTGGTTAAAGCACTCCACTGCTAACCGAGCTACTCCACTAGCTACTCCAAGGGAGAAATATGTGGCAGTTTACTTCCATAATGATTACAACCTTAGAACCTTATAGGGCAGTGTGGTAGTTAAGGTTATGTGTCAACTTGGCTGGGCCTGGTTTTGAGTGGCTGGGCAGCTGGATGTAGTATTCCCCATGGTAAGACTGGCAATGAACTCCATGGTGGAATCTGCCGTGAGTAGTTGCTTTAGGGATGTGATCTTTTTTCCCGCATATAAGGAGAAGCTTTGGTAATGGCCTGGAGCTTTTTGGCACAGTGGGATCCTACACATCCGAGTATTCACTTAGCAGCCTGCCATGTTACCTGCTGATCTTGGGACTATCTCTGGATTTGAAGCACTGGCCTGCCATGTTCTTTGGTAATATTGGGACTGTGCCACTTTATTTGTTGACCTTGGGCTTCTTAGCCTCAGCAGTCAGCAACTGCCTGAGTGAAAAGACACCTCCAACTCCAGTGGGCCAGAAGCAAGAGGCAGAGGTGAAGCCCAAGGTCGAGGGGCTTTTAACCAGCTCCTAGAACTTGGCACTTTGCAGCCAGACTTCTAGCCTCCCAAACTGTAAGAGAATAAATCTCTGCTTGTTAAGGTCACCCATTTCTGGTATTTTCTGTTAGAGCAGCACAAAATAACCCAAACAGGCAGTTCTACTCTGCCCTGTAGGGTTGTTGAGAATAGACTTAATAGCAACGTGAATGAAATATAACATCAGATCAAGGAGGGTAAAATCATTCCCTATTTCTTTCTCAACTTTACTACTCAGGCAACAATCTATGTATACCTATCAGGAATATGGCTTAGAGATTTCTAAAAATGAGCAGAGAACATAGGTGCACTCTTCACCCAGTGGTATCTGTTTTCAATCACAATCCATCTGGTTGCTTCTGGCAGGTAAAGTGTGTTTCTACAGAGTTATGCAAGGCACTCCAGGCTTTTCCCTGTGTTTTGGTCTCTCCATCCCATGAGGACTACCTGGGAAGGCTCCACCGGTGTTGGATAGATGGCGCTGCATGGTCTCTCTCTTGGCGACAAGCAAGAATTTTCTCTGGAATGTTTGTGTTTGTCAGACAACAAAGGAGAAGCTGGAAAGAGAAGGAAGGGAAGAAGCATCAGTGACGTGGTGGTGGCAGGCCTGCTTGGAAGGAGTGCCGGAGTGCTGGGCAGTAGGGTGTAGTTCAAGATGTTGAAGCCACAGTTCCCTGGGACTGGAAGGTTCTCTGGGCCCTGTTAGTTTGCCCTGCATGCTGGCACTGACCTCTGGCACTTGATGGAGCAGAACTTGTCACATTAGGTGAAGCGGAATGAGTTGAACTCAAGCTTGAGGTAGATGGACTTGGCTGGAAATACATGGGGAACTGTTATCATACATGGTTTAGAGGCTTCAAACAACACTGACATACTGGAAACAAAATAACCAACTTTTGGTTTTGAAGCATAAAAGGCCATTTAAAACTACAGAAAAATCTTACTAATTCAGACTGATAAGGAGGCTCATCTGAATTAATCAAGAATTTGAGATTTTTGCTATCATCAAAGGAGTGCATTCCCAAAGCCTGAGTTGTGTATGGTGACTTACTACTACCAGTTAGCAAAGCACTTCCCAGCTGAATAGTAAGCAGAATGACCTCCAGCCCAGAGCACATAAATGTTCCTAAAAGGCACGAAATGTGCCTTGTCATTATTTCCCAATATATGTTTCTAATAGTAATTTGCCTTCTCAAAAACCATTGTGGAGGAAATTGTAGCTCTTTCTGAATGATCATAAATGTGCAATTAGCAGTGTCTCAATAAAACAATTTTGTTACAAGACTCACATTTGCTCTATAATTCTTACAAAGTCTCTCTCTGTATATATTATTATTATCTTCTTTTGGTCAAATAACTTTTTACTATGGAAAATTTCCAATATATACTTAAGTAGAGAGAATTTTATAGTGAGCCACAAGACACATCTTAAAGAAATAAAAGCCATACAGAAATGCTAAGAGGTGGCTGTGTGTGGTGACATGCCCCAGGAGTCCTGGATTGAAGAAAAAAATCAGAGCTAGATCTCAAAGCCAAGGCCTACACAGCTTGCCCAGGCTTTTCCATTGTGTGGTTAGGTCTTCTCAGAGTGGATGGGACAGCTTTGAGAGCACATCTTTGCAGACTCCAGAGACACATAAAGAATTAAGAGTGCTTCAGTACTTGTCTTTAAGTCAACTTCTTGCCCTTAGGTCTGCTCAGTAGCACAGAAGAATGAACAGGAACTCTCATGATTGAGACAATAAATGAATAGACACAACTAGACAGAAAGCTAATTAAGTACCTGCATGTTAAAGACTTCATCAGAGCTTTCTGATTGCCCTGTAATATTGCTTACTTCAGCAGAAGCTTGGGAGGACAGTGAGGAGGAGGAATATCGGTTGACAGCTGGGTAACTTAATGGGCTGTTTTTGGGGAAAAAAAGAATGGTCGTTAACTCGGTCTCCAAATTGCACTTTATCACATGCTGGCATGGTGTAAAATCGAAGGAATGAAAATACGCATCCCATTTTGTTGTCTCCTGTTTGCCTCAATATAATCAAACGTTTGAGTTTATTTATTTCTCATGCTGTTGCTGTTTCACTCGTGGCAGATGTCTGCAGCTGCCTCGCGGGTGAATTATTTCATTAAAAAATAGTGTATTTGACAAATTGTGCCATAAAGGATGAAAGAATCATTCCAGATTCTCTTGTGGAGATGCCAAATTGTAAAATAATCCCGAATATGACTTACCTGCGTCTAGGAATTACCCTGGTGCCATCTGGGCTCATGGAAGCAGGTGCTGAGTTTCTACACACGCGAGGGCTTCCATTAGGAAAATGGACTGGGCTGGCTTGTATACAAGCAGAGAACTCCTAAGGACATGGCGGAGAAAATATTTTAGACTAGTAATAACACAGGCAAAAAAAAAAAAAACCCTGTAGGATATTTTAGTATACTAGATACACATCTTAATTGTTATGAAATCTTTGTCTAGGAATCTTTTAAGGTACGTTTCAGTACTATTCAGCCTTCTCTCATTTACTTTTTTTGTCATCAGAAAAGGGGAGTATGTCATACAGAAGACACAGCATATAAAAGGGTGCAGTTTGGGAGAAAAACCAAAAGATGTCACTATTGGACACCTCATCATCCCTCTAACTGGAAAGCAAATTGGCAATAGTCAGACTGCTCTACCATGGACACTTTGTGTAACACACCTGTATCCCTAAGCTTGACTTCATCACGAAGAACTGATCAACCAACTTTTTGTGAAGGGGTCTCATATCTTGAGGCACAAACTTCTCATGCACAGCCAAACCAAATTCCAGAATCTGTGCCTTGAAAATATAAGGGGGAAAAAAAAAAACCACATCAATGACTACTACTAAGGGCCTGCGAGGTGCCAAGCAGGGGACCATGCATTTTACATGATTACCAATCCTCTCAATTTTATAGCACAGGAACAATGCACGAGGAACTGACGCTCAGAATTCTACAACAGAACTCTGCAGGAGAGGAAATGGAGGCTCAGAAAAGTCCTGCACAGGGATTTGAACTCAGGTCTGATTTCAAGACTTGATTTTCCCACTACTTCTGCTTCCCTCCTGTGTAATTTTCACTTTGTGACAGCATCTCTTCTTAACAGTTGTGCATCCTTTGGCCCCTTCCAGCCTTTCCCAGGATGAGGCAGGGAAGGAGGGCAGGAGCGGCTGTGACAGGACCTATCCTCTAAAAGGTACTCTCTCTTCCCTGGTGTCCTTTTCTCCTACATCAGGGCCTTCTGTGTTTTTCCCATCCCTCCTGCAAATTTTCAAAATCTGTCAAGAGAGGTGGTGAACTCATGCCCAGGAATCCTAAAACAGCTGCTATGCTGGTTTTTGCTAAAAAAGATTACTCTTCACGTATAATAATGCAAAAAGGGAGCAAGCAGCTTCTACTGAAAAGGGGGGAAAAAGTTTTCTGGCTATGATGACTCAAAGTGATGTGCATTTGTTCAGAAAGGTGGTGACCTTGGGTGGTGACTAAGGTAATCCCTGAAGGATGTGACAGTTGGAGGAAGTTGGCTGACAGCCACACACTCAGCAGCTGAGGCAACAAGTCCTACATGGAAGGAACATCAGGGCAGCATATCCCCACATCCACAACCGTTCCTCTGAACTGCTTCACAGAGGTCCTGAGAAGGATGGTGCCCTCTCTACCCCAAACCTTCTTCTACTGTCCCACAAAGATGATGAGGTCACACAGCAGGCACAGCTGGTCTCATGACAGAGACTGGATACTCTCTAGACCATAGCTCCTTCCACAAGGCTTCAGGAACATAATCGAGCAGCGTGTGCAAAACTAAACCCTCTCAATTCTATTTTCTTGAGAGGCTTCTCAGTCCTAAGTGACAATATTAATTCTGGGGAAAGAATTCAGTCAGGCAGAGAGACTCCTGAGTGAGGTAAACCCCTCACAAGAGACTGTGCTCAGGTAAAATACAGATTTTTAAAAATCAAGAAAGGTTAAAGTCATCCCTAAGAACTGATGACCCAAATTGTTCATATGGTGCCAAATAAAAAAAATAAACTATGCGTCTCTGGAGTAGAAAATGATGAGGTTATCTCTACTTTTGTCCATATCATACTATCTGTAGGCTTAATTTGCAAAACATGATGCCGTGTTAAAGCAAAGTGCATTGATTGCTTACGTCCTCATTCTAGCATTTAAGTAACAATCCCATCTATCCACCCATCCATCCATCCATCCATCTCCCATCCATCCATTTATTTGTTGGCCTGAACTTACTGGAGCACAAAGTTTTCAATAAAAAGTTGGCACCAAGCCTATAGCAAGTCCTTAGGAAGAGAATGTTCAGAAGACCTAAAAGGATACAAAACTCACTGCCATCAAGTCGATTCTGACTCATAGTGACCCTCATTGGGTACCCAACTTTGTATGTCTTTATGAAAGTAGATTGCCTCATCTACCTTCTGAGGAGTAGCTAGTGGATTTGAACTGTAGACCCTGTGGTTAGCAATAAAATGCTTTACCCACTATGCCACTAGAGCTCCTTAAGAGAATATATGAAGCATTTATTTAAGGGGCTGCCATGGCTTACTCATTGTTAAATGTATTTTTGCATCAAATTAGCAGGGCAGGGGGACAGAAAAGTAGAAATTAGCAAGTTGGGATCCAATCTAGGTGAATCTGCAATTCCCAATTGCCAGCTTCAGTTAGACCACCACATAGAAAACCATGTAGCTGGGTCTCTGGCTAAGTAAGAACACATCCAGGCAGGACAGAGAGAAGGTAATTGATTGGCTTCTGCCTCCCTTACCTGCTCCAGCATCAGCTCTCTTAACCGTGCAATTTTCTCTCCATCTTCAGGGTGACTTAAGATATATTCTTTCACAAAGAATGCCTAGTAAGAGAAGAGACTGTCAGTATACTTGAGGAGAGTTAAAAGGAAGTAAAAGATGTTGTTTTTCAAGATCCAGAACCTTCCAAAGAAATGAAACTATTACAAACCATGTTTGGGCACAGATGGAGTGATTCTTAGAGTAGGTGGCTGGCCAGAGTGGATTCGTAAGAAAGATTTGTTAAAAGGAGGTAAGAGATTGTATAACAAGTACTTTTGGTAAAGTAAACCAACAACAAATCCAAATCAACAAGCTTTATAACATTATATCCCAAAATAAATTATCTTAACATTCAGTGTGCCCAAGATGGTGGCCTCATCTCCAAGAGTCTTCCTGTTTAAAACTAAGAGGCAGATAAAAAGTCCGCTTAAGATATCTTCTAACCACATCAGACTTTTCTATGACCACGCACCTCTTTGCTAAGGGAAAAGACATTTATTAAACAATCTTGATCTTCTCACTACTTTTATGGATCAAAAACACACACATACACACATTTTTATCCTCCAAATATCTCACGTTAGGAGGTGGAATAAGTGGGCATCACAAATTACTGTAGATTTGCACCACTTAACAAATGACTCCATGTGTCAACTGTAGCACTGTTTGTATGCCAATGTATGTACTTATTTTTTAAAAAGATTGATGAAACCCTAAAAAGTCACATCTGAAAACTTTCTCTCAAATAAAACCTAATTCTTACCTCTTGGTACCTGGAAACACCACCATTAACTGCAGCATCTATTACTCCATTCAGGCACATGGTCAAGGGATTAATATTCTGCATCTGTCTTGTCTGACACTGACTAATCAGAGTCTTTAGTTGTTGATTCTTATTTTCCAGCACTTCAATTGCATTTTCTAGAGGACTCATTTCTACCTGAGAACCAAATAAGCATCAATATATATTGAATTTTGTGACATTCAAGAAGAAAGACAAAGTAGTTGATGCACATTCTTAATTATAATAATTGTTATTATGTGCTCCCCTTGTTCCATCAACATCTCTACTAGGAGCTATCAGTAGAATAGACAAAGAGGTGGAGGTCTAATGAACTGTTCATTAGTAAGGCAAGGAAAGAGCAGGTGATTATACTCATTGGTTGAAATGTAGTTTGGATAATCAATGATCAATTATACATTAGCAAAACAACAATAAATATAATCTTTTAAAAATATCTAAGCATCTCATATCTTTTATAATGTATTTTTCTTTTCTTCTGAATGGCTAAATATTCAAAGGGCCCTGTACATTATTAACACCTTCATTAACATCATCTAATCATCATCGTGGATTCTTACTCAATGCAAAGCACCAAGAAAAAGACAGTAACGCATTTACAGATCTTTTGTGTCAAGGAGCTTTAAGGCCAATAGGGAAGATGGGATATATGCTTGTATGGACCACCCGCTCCTCAGAAGGAAGGTTGGGCAATCTACTTCTGTAGAGACACCAACTTGGAAACCCAAGGAGGGGTTGCTATGAGTTGGAAATGACTTGACGACAGTAAGTTTGGTTTTTTTCTGGACCCTATATGAGTCGGGGCTGACTCGATGGCGCATAACAACAACAACAACAACATTTACATATATAACAACAGCACCACAAGGTAGGACAAGACAATATCCAGTTGAGAGCTACAGAAAATAAGATGGTCATATATGTTGCAGGATGTATTTGTTGAAGGGGAGCCAAATAGAATGGTAGTGACTTAAACATTCTAGGTTGTTACAGGGGACCTAATTGTGAAAATGATAAAAGTGCTCTTGAAATGTACGGAGTCATGACTGTTATTGTGATTAATATTCTCTTTGAATTGAAAGTCTGTCATGCTCTCATCTATAAAGTAATCCAGAAACCAAAACCAAACTCACTGCTGTCGAGTCGGATCTGATCTGGGGTGATGGGTAGATTGCCCCATCTTCCTTCTGAGGAGTGGCTGGTGGGTTTGAACCACCAGCCTTCTTCTGGTTAGCAGTCAAATGCCTTAGGCACTATGCTACCAGAGCTTCCATAAAGTAATCCAGGCTTGCAAAAAGCATATTTAAATGTTGGTTCTTTCAGTTAAGTTTGTTAAGGAAACAAACTAGAGTTTTTTTTTTTTTTTTTTTAAAGGTTAGTTAGGTCATCTAAAACCAATGTGGAAAGTAGTAGAATGACTTGGCTATATCAAAATTAAGAATGTATGTTCATCAAAAGAAAGAGAAGTTAATTCAAAAAGGTAAAGATATTTATAACATGTATAACTATCAAAGAATGCAGGCCCAGGATTTTTAAGAATTCCTACAAATTAATAAGTAAAAGATGAAGAACCCAATATAAAAAACAGGCAAAAGACATGAGCAACCATTTTACAAAAAAATCCCAAAAGCCACTGATCATATGAAAAGGTGCCCAACTTCAATTGTGTCAAGGAAATGAAAAATATTACCACAGCAGATACTACTATACACTCACTGGAATGGCAAAAATAAGTATAACAATACTGAATCAGAGTGAGATATGAAAAACAGGATCTCTCAATTCTTGCTATTGGAAGTTCACATAAGTTCACTTTGGAGAACAATTTGGTATTATCTACTAAAGTTAAAGATATACACATCTATGGTCCAACAATTCTACTTCTAGGCATATAACTTAGGAAAAGCTGAGCAGCAGATGTATGCACACAGGTCAGGAAACCGAAAAACGCTCACAACACAATTGTTCATAATAATCCTAAACAATCTATATGTTCACACTAACAGGATACATAAACATATTGCACTATGCTCATATTGTGGTATGCTCACACATGGAATAGCATACAGTGAGGAAAATAATAAATTTCAGTTACATGCAATAACATAAATGGATGCCGCAAACATAATACTGAGTGAAAAGAGCAAGTCATACAGTATGATACCATTTATAGAAAGTTTAAAACCAGGCAAAACTAAATGATTCTTTCAGAGAAGCATAAATAGTGGATAAATCAGGAAAGGAAAGGAACATCACAAAACTCAAGATAGTGGCAACCTTTAAGGGAAAGGTCCAAATCAAACAAAACCCATTGTCATTGAGTCACTCCCAATGCATGACACTACAGGACAGAGTAAAGCTGTCCCATAGGATTTTAAAGCCTGGAAATCTTTACAGAAGCAGACTGTCGTATTTTTCTCCTAGAAGTGGCTGGTGGGTTTGAACTGCTGAAGTTTGGGTTAGCAGATGAGCACTTAACCACTGTGCCACCAGGGCTCCTGCAGGGGAAAGGACAGGAGCTATATTCAGGCAGAGGTACCTTGTAGACCTCTAGGGTGCCAGTGGCAATGCTCTGTTTCTTTATCTGTGTGGTGGTGAGTATTTACTTTTAAATTATTTGTGACATTTGTCTATGTACACAAAAGCTAAACCATAAAGGAAAAGTCTGAGAACTTTGATTATAATTTAAAAAGTAAACAAACACAATATACACAGACAAAAGAACCTGGGAAAATATTTCTAATATATATTCTAGACAAAGTATTAATACTTCTCAAATATTAAAGAAATGAAAACTAGAAATGGAATGACCGGTATATTTGCAAAGTATATAGAGTAAATAAATAATGAAAACATCTTCACTAGTGGTCAATAAATGCCAAAAACAAAAACAGGCCTTAGTATGATCATTTTTGGTCTTTTATATGGAAAGGTTAAAATAACCTACAACATTCAGTGTAGAAGAGGATTGTGGGAAATGGTACTCCTCTAAACCATTATCTCCTCCAGATTGAGCATATATTGACATATATCACCACTGATACCTGAATCAAGGTGGAGATGTAGATATCCTTTGATAGATCATTTCACTTCTAGGGAAATGATCCTAAGGAAATGGTCAAAGAAATGTGCAAAGATATGTGTACAAAGAAAGTTCATCAAAAAATTATGTTTCCCTAGTACCCTGACTCAATGGCACATAACAGCAACAAGTACCCAGACTTTGATCTCTAAATAATGTTACAACTAATAAGAACGAAGAGTCGCTGGAGAAAAGGCTGATATAGGGCTGGGGAAGGAGAGGCACCAGATGAGCCTGGGACACCTTGCCATGCCCTGTGATCTCTTCCTAGAGGAATGTCCTCCAGCAAAGGAGGCAGGTGACCAGGTTTAATCTCAGTGTCAATGTTGTTGTTGTGGTTGTTGTTAGGTGCTGTCAAGTCATCTCTGACTCATAGCAACCCTATGTACAAAAGGACGAAACTGCCCGGTCCTGTGCCCGTCTCACAATCCTTGCTATACCTGAGCTCATCACTGCAGCAACTGTGTCAATCCATCTCGTTGAGGGCCTTGCCCTTTTTCACTGACCCTCCACTTTACCAAGCACTATATCCTTCTCCAGGGAATGGTCCCTTCTGACAACATGACCAAAGTAGATAAGATGAAGGCTGGCCATTCTTGCTTCCAAGGAGCATTCCAGCTGCACTTCTTCCAGGACAGTTTTGTTAGTTCTTTTGGCAGTCCATGGTACTTTCAGTATTCTTCACCAACACCATAACTCAAAAGCATCAACTCTTCTTTGGTCTTCCTCATGCATTGTCTAGCTCTCACATGCATATGAGGTGATTGAAAACACCATGGCTTGGGTTAGGTGCACCTTAGTATTCAAGGAGACATCTTTACTCTTCAGCACTTTAAAGAGGTCTTTTGCAGCAGATTTGCCCAGTGCAATAGATCATCTGATGTCTTGACTGCTTCTTCCACTGGTGTTGATTGTGGAACCAAGTAATGTGAAATCTTTGACAACTTCAATCTTCTCTCCATTTATCATGATGCTTCTTATTGGTCCAGTTGTGAGGATTTTTGTTTTATGTTGAGGTGTAACCCATACAGCAGAATGTAGTCTTTAATCTTCATCAGTAAGTGCTTCAAGTCATCTTCATGTTCAGCAAGCAAAGTTGTGTTGTCTGCATATCTCAGGTTGTTAATGAGTCTTCCTCCAATCCTAATACCATGCTCTTCTTCATACAGTCCAGCTTCTTGGATTATTTGTTCAGCATACAGATTGAATAAGTACGGTGACAGGATACAACCCTGACACACTCCCTTCCTGATTTTAAACTATGCAGCATCCCCTTGTTCTGTTCAAATGACAGCCTCCTGATCTATAGAGAGGTTCCTCATGAATACAAGTAAGTGTTCTGGAATTTCCATTCTTCTAAATGTCATCCATAATTTGAAATGATCCACACAATTGAATGCTTTTGCATAGTCAATAAAACACAAATAATCATCTTTCTGGTATTCTTTGCTTTCAGCCAAGATCCATCTGACATCAGCAATGAACTGCCAAGAGGAAGAGATGTTATCTATGGAATGCCCTTAGCAGGAAGTCCCCCGCTACAGGATTGCTCACAGTAAATAAACCTAGGATTCATAAGGCATGATTCCCTGGAGAATGTTCCTGAGAATCTAACCTCTTGAGTTTGAAGTGGAAATGTTTCAGAATTTAATGTCTTTAAATTATTTTACATGATTTAAATGTGCCCCCTGTGTGAAGACCACTAGAAACCTCATTTAGAGACTCCCATCTATTATTATGTATTATTTCTATTGATGTGGGAAGGAGGGATCTGGGGGACCAGGCTGGGTGTTTAAGATATCTTTGCTCCATCTGAGCCTTTTTTTTTTGTTTCTTCTCTCCCACTTCCTCCCTGTAGTTACCTCTTTCCTGTGTCCTTCTCTCTCATGCACACCCGCTCCCCACCGAGCTGTCTCCTTGTGCATACACTGCCCTTCTATTCTCCCATGACTGATCTCTCCAAGGAGTGTATCTACCTAATGAATGTTCAGCTCATATGCCTGTCTTCTGTTTGGCTGAGACTATTTGGGTGAAAGTGTGCAGAGCACATTCACTT